GAAGCCTAATTTAGAATTAAATTATTTAATTCCAGCTGCTGAAAATACTGGGGGCATTGCACCCCGAGGGGCTCGGCACAGTGTGTTACGAGGCCCTGGCAGCCCCCGTGGACCCCCCTTTGCTGGTGAGTCATGTCCGTCTGGAAGGATAATTTTCAATGTTCTGATTTTCACACTTCTCTACATTCACGGCCATTTATGTTCCGTTCAATAACAAGATTTGGTTAATGTGTCGAGATGGGAGGAAGTAGTGGGGTGCTCCTTCACGGAAGGAGAGGGAGACATTGGGGGTGAAGGACGGAAGTGGGCGGAGGCGATGACCAGAGTGGGGTGGAGGACATGCAGGAAGGCGAGGGGGGTCGAGAAGGGGAGGGCAGGGGAGGGTGAGGAGCAGGGGTGAGGGGACCCGAGGGGGCCTGAGGAACCTCTCACCTGAGGATTTCGTTAAGCTTTCTTAACACAAACTTATAATTTCGATGCACTTTCTTCCAACACCTGAAGGGCATTCCCTGGTTGTCCACGAAGTTTTCCCAACAGTATTTAAAATCTGAGATAAAGGGGTGAACGCGGTCAGGATCGGCACAGGAGCCCCACAGAGCCAGGTCCCCTCCCTGCCAGGGGCCGTCACCCCTGCCTCCGTTTCCCAAGTTCCCCTCCCACGCACTCTCTCTGGGGCGCTCCAGGTCCCCACTACCTGGTCCTAACCCCTCCCACTGCCCTGCCCCATCCCTCAGCCCTCACCGTCAAAGGACATGGCGTCCAGCTGGACCCCTAAGTGGTCCAGCTCCTGAAGTCCCTGCCGGAACGCTGGTTTCCAGAAGTAGTAGATTCGGGAGACAAAGATGCTCAGCCTGACGTTCTTGTGATTGCTCAGGAAAATGGCTATCTCCTCTGCACAGGTGGAGCAGGGGCTCCAGGATAGGAACCAGGTGACATCGTAATGTTCATAAGGAGACAGCTTCTCGGCACGGAACCAATTCAGGAAGCAGAGTTCTGCGTGGTAGGGCTCCGTCCCACAGAACTGGGAGAGATGGAGAAGGGAGGGGGACACTCTGGGCTGGCAGAGCAGGCGTGTGGCAGGGCTGGGGGCATGGGGACGAGGGGCCGGGGAGCAATAGTCTCAGAGGCATGTTACTGAGCGGTTGATTGGTTTTCTTAATCTCTCCCCTCCCCTCTGTTTTCACGTAGTCTTCCTTGCCACACTCATCCACTCGTTCATTCATTCCGACATTCGTTATCTCAGTCATTCCT